ATTCTTTCTTGCACGATTTCGATTTTCTTTTCCAATTTATCACGACATCATCTTCGTCACTTTCTTCGTACACCGGGTAACACCGTCATCTTCCTCTTTTCACCATTGACTCTTATCAAGGAGCACATTACACTCACAACCAATACTCCGTTGCAGAAACAAGAGTGCGGCGTCTCCGATGACTCTTTCCGAGACTTTCTTCCGCCTGCCCACCCTCCATACTTTCCAATGATCTTTTCATTAATTGATGAGGATTACACATTCATCGCCACTCATATGTCACTGCGTTTCAATTGCAGTCGTGACCAAAGCCGCGGGATGTATCATCATTGACACATCCTCCTTTAATAGACATAACCTGCATCCTCCTTTCTATTTCCCGCGCTTCACATCCACAAATCATTCATTGGCCTTCTTCGTGCGTATTCCGGGTGGCCGTTCCGCCGCCTACGGCGGGCGGCCACCTTACCCTAGTTAGTCTTAGGTAGTATAGACTAATGAATACGGGCGCTCATCTTGACGTTAGTATGTCGTCATATGAAATTTCGCTTCGAATCCAATGGCCAACACATTGCCAGTTAGCATCTCGGTGGGTGATTGAACGTTGGAATGTGGATGGGCACACATACATACGTACGTGTTTATGTGGGTGTGACGGACTTGTCGCGCAAGTTTCCGCTTGGCCTTGCCCCTGTCTCCCACTGGATAAACCCTTGTCAAGGAGGACCCGATTCGCAGGGTATCCGTCGATTGACTTTACCTGAATCGGTACACCTCCGCATGTGGCGTCAGCTGAATATCGGTTCAAATCTGCTTGGGTGCACACTTTTTCTCCTGCCTTGGACATTTTCCCATGGACACAATGTGTGTCAGTCCTGAGAACGCCTCTTGGAGTCGATCCTACAAAGAACCTTGTGACACGTCCATCGAATTACCCATCCTGGCCACAAGAGGTTCCCAGTTGAGGGTAAATTCTGTGGGTGGAGAGTGTTGAGGAGAACCCGATTCGCAGGGTATCCGTCGATTAACTTTTACCTCAATCGGTACACCTTCGCACCCTCTCCTTAACAATGGCATTGACATCACTCCTCCTTTGTGCAGGAACGCTCTCGACAAAATACTGCGAGCGTGACAACGAAGTCCACGCGCGGACACACAAACACAATATTTTGCCGGGCGTGGGCTGATCGTTGTTGGAAGTGCGGCATTGGGGCGGGAAGGTGAGAGGTTTGCAATAGTGCCGTGCGGAATGACCGGTGATTGCAACAACAGCGCTCCGCTATGGGTCTACGCACGACTCAGGCACGTTTGTCTGTGACATGCATAAGTAGGTATGAAGTAGAGCTGTTTGTTTTATTTTTGAAAACCATGAGTTGACAACTGCACGTCGTGGTAGACTGTTGGATGCTGTGTTGCGATGCACACGAACATGGTGTTATCGGGACGTGTTGCGTTTGACTCCATGTTTCTCTATGCGGTTGTGTTGCGCTGATTTCCATTGGACACTCTTTGCATTTTGTATACGATGATATGGTTTGGATACTCAAGAACTTGTGCCGAATTGGTGGAGTTGATATTGATCGTTGGCTTCCTGCGGGTACTGCTGGCGAAAATTATGGGGGGGGGGGGGGGG